GCCTCCTGGGTTCAGGCAATTCTCCTGCCTCAGCCTCCTGAGTAGCTGGGATTACAGGCACGCGCCACCATGCCCAGCTAATTTTTTGTAGTTTTAGTAGAGATGGGGTTTCACCGTGTTGACCAGGATGGTCTCGATCTGTTGACCGCGTGATCCACCCGCCTCGGCCTCCCAAAGTGCTGGGATTACAGGCGTGAGCCACCGCGCCCGGCCACAGCAAACTATCTTTATCAGAGGGGCAACAGGGGGCCCTGCCGAAAGCCAAGCTTCCAGACGCCGGCCAAGGGACCACCTCCCGAGCAGGACCTCCTAAGGAGAGCAGTCTCAGGCCTGCTGTGTTCACCCTTTCCTGTGTATATGGCAGGTTATATTAAGTCACTCTATGCTTAAAACGTACTGTCTACATTTCAGAAATTTCTAGTCCCTCCTCCTCACACTCACTAACTGTGGGTACGCCTAACCACCCCCTTGTTCTTTGTAATGGTTTAAAAAATGATCTCTTCCTCTGAGAAATCACTTGCCTCCATGGTTTTACTCTTACTCCTTTTCTGATGATTGTTTTATTAAAAATACATTTGTTTTAAATGTAAAAGAAAGTTTTAGAATATTTTAAAAATGGAAAAAAATTGCATTTTAATCAATCATTTCACCATTGTAATATTAATGCATTTTAAGCTTTTTAATAAAGTTGTGTTTTCTATTACACATATAACAGGTTTTGAATAGTGCTTTTTTCTCCTAGTTAACACTTCCTCCCAAAATGTTCCTCATGTGGCTATATAGCTTTCATAGGCAGCCTTTTAATGGTGCCTTCAGAATATTCTATTGAGGTGATACACTGTAATTTACTTACCAGTTTCTTATTGCTGAACCTTTAGATGGCTTCCAAAGTTTTGATATTTTGCCAAGAGCTGCAATAAATATATGCATGTATCATGTATTTTCCCCTTTAATATTATTCCCTCCCCCAAAATAAAATTATCGTGTCAGAGAGTAGGGCCTTATTGGATAGCTCTTGATATTTGTAGCCAAATTGCTTCTCAATAGGATGTTACCAACTTATAATGCCACCAGCAATACAAAAGAACCAGCTTCACGACCTTCCAACAAACACTGTTTACTACTTTTAGTTTAAGTAGCAAAATCATGGAACCCAATTTGAATTTGCTTTGTTGATTACCAGTATAGGTATTAATAAATCATTTATCTTGAATTTGTTGATTTTGCATAATTCAATTATAGAGAGAAATGAAAAGGATGATGTAGAAAAGGAGTACCTGATAGCAAGTTGTGATTTCATGTCCATGGTCAGTGATGACTTCTGTGATTAGATTTGAAGGGAGGAAGTGAGAGTCTAAGCCATGTGAACATTTTAGGAGAAGAACATGCCAGGCAGAAAGAATAGCATGTGCAAAGGCCCTGAGGTGGAAGCATGTTGTAGCTGGAGAAGGGTGTTGAGTTGAAGTACATTGGGCGTTCATATGCTCAGGTGGAAAATCAATAGAGAGGGAGAAAGGGGTAGGCTTGTTTTCTGAGGAAGCCAGAGAAGCTGTGATTCAGAACTCAGATTGTGGAGTTAGCCTTGAATGAAAGGAGAATGATTGCATTCACTGAAACAGGAGGAAGAGGGGCTCAGGATGATGGCCAATTTGCCTTCTGCATGAGGGCAGTGGGACTTGTTTGAGTCCCCTTGTCACGAACTCGGTTTGCTTTGTGCTGTAGAAATCAAGGTCATTCTTTGAGTATCATGAGGAAGGATGGTGTCATGATTTGAAGACATGGATTTGAAGACACAGCTATTATGGGCTTGGTAGAGGGAAGTGGCTATAGTCATGTTGCTGATTCCTAAGAAGCATTTGAGGCCAGGTTGAGTTTGGGTACCATGAATTCCCAGTGCCAAGCATCTGCATCAGCATGACCTATGTGTGCCGATGGAGAGGGTAGGTCACCTGGTTCACCTGGGTTGGGCTTCTCCTGGGTGGGGCAGTGGAAGGTTGAGAGAGCGATGGAGCAAAGAATACTAGCAAAACAAAGTTAAAGTGTGAAAGCATGTTAGGAGAGGGCATGAACCAGGGAGTACGGGTGAAGAGACCTGGAGTAGATGTGGAGTCTGGTGGGTTCTTGGTTTGCCAAAGCTGAAGCATCATGGGAATGAGGAAATGGTGGGGCTCCATGCTGATTATTCAAGGAGGATACCACTCAGGATTCAAAGACAGGCCCTTTTGGTGAGTTTCAGCTTTTGGGTTTCATCGTGGAGGTTAGTTGACATGAAGCAGGATAAGTGGAGGCAGCATCTTTCATTTATTTTGTTTGTCTTAGGGGATATTTTAATGAGTCTATTTATTACTTCTTTTTTCTCATTGTGTTTATATTCTGCTTTGTTAATTTCTATGCTGTTTACATTTTTATGGTTATGCCATCTCATAGAAAGTTAAGAGATGTAAACAACATTGCTAGAACTATACTAGTCTTTGAGAGGCTATCAATTCCATCTTCTAGAACCCTCAGTATAAAGGAATTTTATGATTTCAAACATGTGTCTGTATTAGTGAGAGGACTGAAAGAGCTACTGGAAAGTTAATTGAGGATTCCCTGTGAGAGCCGGCCCTGAAAATGGAGACCACATGTGTGTTTCTCTCCAAGGTAGAGTCAGAGGACTTAAGATTCACACTTTAAAAAAATTAGCATTCTCTCAGAGAATTGAGGAGTTAGTTTATATAAAATGAGATGAATAACCTTTGCAAATATTTAGGCCCTGTGGTTGTATGTGATTTTTCAACCAATAATAATAATGAGCACTTCCTGTGTGCTTACTTTATGTTCTTTAGTGTTTTACGTGCATTTATTTTATGGAATACTTGCAAAAACTATGGTGAGTTCTGCCATCATCACCATTATACATATGCAGGAATTGAAACTGAGATGGATTTTCAGGATCATGCAGAGCAAGGATTTGAATCCTAGTTTCAAGCTGTATAAGTGTATAATGCTGGAAGTTGGAATGGAGCTGGACACTGCCCAGCTGACGGTCTATTATTTCATGGGCTTACTTTCCAACTAGGTCGTAAACCACTGATTCTGTCTGTACCATCCTTCTCTAACTATCTGTCTACCTAATCTCCTACAGAATTGATCACCATGCCCCAAATCACGTTAGTTTATATTTATTAAATCCGTTCTTGAGAAAAGTACAATATAGTTAGAGGGGTAGGTAGTATTTTTGAAATTAATGAGGAGATGACTATGGTTTGTCGGCAAAGACAAGGAGAGAAAGAAGGGTGGCTGGATCTAATTTATGTGCTATGAAGGATCTGATTTATGTGATGGAAGAAAGGCTGCTGGTGGCTTTTGGAGGTATTTTCTCTATTGCTGGAGAAGTGCCTCTAATTTTGGTCCATCTACACTGCTCCACTTGGTGCCCTTGTCCTTAACACATTCCTTTATAGGACACCTGGCCTGTGCTGGAGTGAAGAATGTGGCTAAGCATCACTGGGGCTAAAATCTCACCTGGAGGCTGAGCCACAGCATTGCTATCACTGCTTCTGTGCTCTTAAGAGTTAGATAAACAATATACCACTGTGCTGTCTTTTTTTTGTTGTTGTTGTTAGGATCTTTGCGTAAACGGTGCACAAATACTACATTTTAAAAGCTCATTAGTGGAGGAGGCAGTCAATGAGCTTGTAAATATGTTGCTGGATGTGGAAGTTTTATCTAAAGAAGATAGTGAAAAAATATCCAATGAGAATAGTGTGAATTCCAAAAATGAAAGTTCAGGTAAGAGATGGGATAATGAAAGGGTCTTGTTTCTCTATGACATTTACTGAAAACTAAAATGGAATTTTCTGCATAGCTATTAATTTCTACTTCTATAAACATCCTCCCAATTTTCTAATGATACGTACAAATCTGAAATTATGACCCTGAGCATATTGTAGTGGCTCTATGTTGTTAATTCCCACTACTTTTGGTTAAACTGCAAACATGCACTTTGCCTTGGCCCTTGTTAGCTTTCTTTACATTTGTATGTGGGTGGGTGTTTTATTTTACCTTATCATTACAGTTGGATGGATTATTGATTGGAATTCCCCTCAGAGAGTGTCTATCCTAGAGCAAACCTTTTGCAGGGCAGAGGAGAACACTGAGATGTGAAGAAGGGAAATTATCCCCCCGAAGTTTTAGGGCTATTGGTGGGAGGTAGCACCAGAACCCAGGCCAGTGGGGGCCAGTGTAGCTTTTTCAGCCGTAGTTCCTGCCTCTCTTGTCGGCTGTTTTCTCATATTGAGAAGGATATGCTTCCGTCAATCCACCTGATTCCTGATTTCCTTCTCCTTACTTTTTGATGTCCTCACTTCCTAAGAAGTGTGATGTTTAAGTGATATTAAACTGCATGTAATTTATCCTTTAATTGCAATAGATGATTCTATCTATCTATCTGTCTGTCTGTCTGTCTATGCATCCATCTAACTTATCTCTTTTTCATCTTGTATCAGCAAAAAGAGAAGAAGGAAATTTTGACACCTTGACATCATCCATCAGTGCTAGGGCTGATGCCCTGCTTTTGACAACAGTCTCGAGGAAAAAGAAAGAAACTGAGATGTTAGGGGAAGAAGCCCGCGAGTTGCTCTCTCATTTCAACCATCAGAACATGGATGCTCTTCTGAAAGTTACAAGGAATACACTAGAGGCCATTCGCAAACACATTCATTCCTCTCACACAATTAACTTCCGGGGTAATAATCTCATGTGGTTTGCCTGGTGGATGATCAGGCATAGTTGCTGGTTTGTGTGTGTGAGCGCGCACACACGTACATTCCTGATTTTAAATAATTAAAAAGTAGCCACCATTTATTTAATGCCTTCTTGTAATATTAAACATTATGGACTTTGATCATTCCAACAATTAAGTAGATACTATCATTACTCTCATGTTAAATCAGAGAACTGGAGCACAGCACAGGGAGGTGAAATAGTTTGCTTAAGCTTTTGTTAATAACATGAAAATTGGTAGTATTTTAGTCTTTTTGTAATAAGATGAAAATATATAAAATTATTTTAATTGGTGAAAGAAAAAAGTACATGCTTTAAAAGAAGTTATATGGAAAAGATTCTTTCATTGTTGAATCATTAGGTTTGTTATCCAGTCTTACAAAATGGAAACATCTTACTAATGTCACATTCATCAAAGGATATATATTAGTGTTTTACTATTTTTATGTTAATTTAGTATTTTCTAGCTGGTTTCCTCATTTTCAATATCATCATCTTTTCCTCAGTACAGTTTAGAAATAGGTGTTGTATTTCCCAGGTGGGCCACAAAATTCTGTCAAATCTAGAGGCATCTTGAAATTAAATTTTAAGTTAAAAATGGTAAAAAGAAAACAAATAATAGTAATTAATGAAAACTTAAATAATAGGATGATAATATCTTTTTACATATCTTGAATTTTGGAATTTAAAGGGAAGCATCTTTAATATGTAATTAAAAGTGTGTAAATAAAAGTAGAAACTCTGAAAGTTTTTTTTTCGTTTGGTGCCATGGCTTATTATGTTTTACTTTATTCAAGATGAAGGATAGTTCTTTTCTTTGAGACAGGGTTATTATTAGAACTTAGTAAATGTTGGCTGATAGGCTAAATATTAAATCACAGTTATTTCCCAGCTTTTATATTACAGATATTTGCAACTATGTAAAGTTATTTATGATACACATATATATACACATACATGTCTATATCTACATACCTATACCCATGTTCAACCGTATAAGCACCTTCAATATGAATGGCAAATTACTCTTTATTTCTTTTCCATTTTTTAACTGCCCCAAGTTAGGATTTTACACACCATGGTAGGAAAGGCCTATTTTTATCTGAAATTCCAAAGTGGCTATTTGTTCTAACTTTGGCTTATTCTGATAGTCCCATTTTTCATTCCTGGCTTACTTAAGCTACATTTAACTAATTTGTTGGTATCCTGTTATTTAGAAGAATCATCTTTAATATTTTAGAGAAGTGTTTATAATTAAGCCTGATCGCACACAGTGGGTTGTCTTTATGGAGGGTATTCTAAGAAGTTGTAAACAGCAGAAAATGCATTGGATCCCCCTGAACTGCTCTGTTATATTGAACAAAACTAGATCCTCCATTAGTTTTAATTGACTCATTCATTCAACAAATATTTCACCAATTTTATACCTATTATGTATTGTTTTAATTTTTATAGTTAAAAAGAAACAAATCTTGTTTTAAATGAAAAACGTGAATTCTTCCTTGTTTTGGGTTAATTCAGACAGTAACAGTGGCTTTAACATAAAGCAGAACAGTGTGCCCATTTTCCGGGCAAGTGTCACTCTGGCCATTCCCAACATCACCATGGCCCCTGCCCTGGAAGATGTACAGCAGACCCTGAACAAAGCTGTGGAGTGCATCATCAGTGTCCCGAAGGGGATTGGACAGTGGAGCAGCGAACTGAGGTCCAAGGTGGGTATGGGGTGCAGAAATGGTTTCATATGGAAACCACTTTTTTTTACACATGGGACAGAGCTGAACAGTATCCTTTTACATTGTAGAAAAAGATACAAGAAAGAAAAATGGCTGCTTTGCAGAGTAATGAAGACAGTGATTCTGATGTTGAAAATGAACTTCAAGGTAAATGTTCTTTTAGTTTTTTAAAAGAGGCACTGTAAATCAACATTAATTGAGTTTAAATGTTTTTTAACCCCTCCATGTAATTCTCAATTTATTTTAGATCAGAATATTAACCTGTGAGCCAATTTGAAGTTGACAAAGTATCAAGGTCCACATATTTTAACATCACCATTTTAGTTGACTTCTGTTGATGTGGTGAATCACATTTATGGATTTGCATATATTGAACCAATCTTGCATCCAGGGGCTAAATTTCACTTAATCTTGATGAATGATCTTTTAAATGCACTGTTGAATATAGTTTGCTAGTATTTTGTTGAGGATTTTTGCATTTATGTCCATCAGTGATATTAGCCTGTAGTTTTTTGAAATTGTAGCATCTGTGTCTAGCTTTGGTATCAGGGTAATGCTGGACTTGTAAAATGAGTTTGGAAGTATTCCCTTCTCTTTGATTTTCTGAAGAGCTGGAGAAATATTGGTATCAGTTCTTTAAATGTTTGGTAGAATTTAGCTCTGCAATCATCTGGTGCTAGGCTTTTTTTTGATGGTAGACTTTAAATTACTGGGTTGGTCTTTTTTTCTTACTATTGTTCTGTTCAGATTTTCAGCTTCTTCTTGATTCCATCCTAGTAGGTTATATGTTTCTAGGAATTTATTCATTTCTTCTAGGTTGGCACAAAATTGTTCTTAGCATTCTCATAATAATTTGTATTTTTGTATTATGAGTAGTAATAGCTCTTCTTTCATTCATGATTTTATTTACTGGAGTCCTCTTTTTTACCTAGTCTAGCTAAGGGTTTGTCAATTTTATATAGCTTTTCAGAAAACCAATTTTTTATTTTGTTCATCTTTTCTATTGTTTTTCTAGTCTCCATTTCATTTATTTATGTTCTGATCTTTATTCCCTCCTTTCTGCTAACTTTGGACTTGTTCTTCTTTCTCTAGTTCCTTGAGTTGTAATGTTAGGTTATGTATTTGAGAGATCTACCTAGATCATTAAAGAGACAGTCTTTGGGTAGGAGCGGTAGAAGTTATGGCGCTTGGTGCATGTCCTAACACCTTCCAGAAAGAATAGGTAGGCCTAGAGTTATCGCTATGTGAGCTAGAGGGAAGACTGATGAATGCTGAGCTCTGGCTCCAGCTGCTGGAGGGCTCCTGTTTCTTTGCCCCATTAACTCCCTGATGTACAGTGTTTAGAAGCCAGACCATCAGATAGCCACTCACTAAAGGGTGTGCCAGGAGCCCCTTCCAGAAAGAAAATGGAACATTTTGATCCTTTTCTGCATTGCTCTGAGGGGATATAGCCCCTGGTAGTATTTCCATGTCTATTTAAAACTACCTTTTTGCCTGAGTAGGGATGGTGGCATGAGGCTATGGGTCAAAAAACTGTTGGGTACTGTGGTGACTATCTGGGTCATAATACCATTTGTACACCAAGCCCCAGTGACATGCAATTTACCCACGGAACAATGTGTATCCCCTAAACTTAAAATTGAGAAAATTAAAAATAAATAAAAACAAAACAAAAAATGAACTATCTTTCTGTTTTGTTATCTAGGGAAATTTGCATATGCCTAATGCCTTTTGTTCACCCACCTAAGGGATTTAGGATTGAGTCCTTTGGAAGGTGGCTGCAAAAATTGGGTCATTCAATGCATAGCATTAACCCCATCTAGACAGAAGCAGAAGGCTCTGTTTTTAAAGCCCCTTCTCTGCACTGCTCCTGGGGGATAAAGCCTGTTGAAGTGCTTGTGTACTCATATTAAATGGCCACTTCTTCCTGTGGTCTAGAGAGACACACAAATGCCAGTCCCCTCTGCTCCCACAGATAGGAGTATTAGAATGTAGTCCCTTGGGTGGAAGCTGTAAATGTTGGGGCACTAGATGTGAGGGAGAAACAAGAGGCCATGATTTTAAAGCCCCCTCTTTGCACAACTTCCACGGAATGAAGCCTCTGTAAGTGCTTCATGCCTGGGTAAAGCCATCACCTTTCCTTGTGGTCTGGAGAGACTCTTGTGTGTCTAACACTACACTCTCAGAGTTGGTCAATTAAGAGCCAAACCATGGGGAACCTTAAGAGTTACGGTGACCCATGTGAACCTTAAGAGTCATGGTGATACAAAGCCTCGTTTCCGCAGAGAGAAGCTGTGTGTTGCCCATCCCTTTCCCAATTCTATGGTTCAGTGTCCAGGGCAGGATTCATATCCAAGTGTGTCTCCACTTTTCCTGCCCATTTGATGTGGATGTGTTTTTGGTTATAACGTAAGTAGGAGTCTCTCCATGAGTCTCTGACTTTCTCTCAGGTGGAATTGATCTGAGAATAGATGTGTACTAGGTGTGTCTATGGGTGGAGGGAGAGCCAGGACCTTCTCATTCAGCCACGTTGCTGACTTTACTCTTCTCAGTCCCCAGATTTTTAACCTTTTTGGCCAACCACTTATTTGCCCCAACTAATATCATTTGCTTCAGGCAGCTGTGAAGTTAAGCAATTTTTGCTGATAGTCTTTTCACAAATGCCATGGGGATAGGACTGTTTTTTGTTTTTTTTTTTTTTTCCTCAGGGAGTTCTGAGTCATGTCAAATAAAAATAAACTAGTTGAATGAACAAGGCTTTTCCAGGGAGCTCCCAGACAGCTCAAAGAGTGAGAATTCTGTGGAGCTCCCTAAGGAGCTCCAAGTCCAGGCTTGCCCTTCCAGGGACTGCTAAATTACTGGTGGATTTTTTTTCCTTCAGCTATAATGGTTGTAAGGCTGCTAGGCTACCCCATAGCCAGAGAGTGGCAATGAGACTAGAGCAAGTTAAAACACCACGAAACTTGCTGTTGTTACCAAGATTCAGCATTGTTCTTGAATAAATACTTTTTGGATTATTGCAAGCTTTGATTAATTTACAGAGTCCTGAAAAGTTGACATTGATAACTCTTTCCATTATTTTCATTGTTTTATAAAGGAGAAGATTTTCAGAAGTCCTTGCTTTCCTATTACAGAAATATCCTCATCTTCTAAAAGTACATTCTTGTGCTAGTAATGTACACTTTTCTCTTCTTTTTTTCCTTTTAGATACCTTGGAGATAGCATCTATAAATTTACCCATTCCTGTGCAAACCAAGAACTATTATAAGAATGTTTCTGAAAACAAAGAGATTGTAAAATTAGTTTCTGTGCTTAGCACAATTATCAACTCCACCAAAAAGGTATGTCAAGAGGGTCTGCCAGGAATGTCTTTTGCTTCACAACAGGCACCAGTGTGAAGATGAACATCACAAGGTTGTCCTGTCCGCAGCCTGGGTCTCACCCACTGTGCTTTCAGGGAGCAGCGAATGGCATCTTGTATGTACTTAGCAAATGTTTGTCTAACTGAAGATCTTTCATTCTAGATTGCAAGGTGACATAAAATTATTCCTACTCTCATACTGTGTTTTGTTTAATGCCTTTAACATCTTCTTTTAATACAAATGAATCTAACTTAAAAAAAATCGAGTATGTTCCAAACCGTAAGTCAGACTGTTGTTATAATTCACCTTCAAAGAACCAGTGATACTAACACATTTGAAATAGAGTAAGGTTTGTAGTCATTTTGTCATATTTGAGTAGTCAGGCAAATGCTATAAAATAGCAGAGAAAAATTTATTTATACTGCCACATGGAAATTAGATGAAACTGAGAATAAAGAAGAGATTAGTACTGTCAATACAAACTTGTACGGTACTGGACGTGAATGTAGATTCAAGGTAATTTTTTCCTTTAGCGTAGGCTCCCCTCAACTTCCCCTTTTTTATGCAAATCATTTTTTAGACAAAAATATATAAAATCTTGAAGTCATATTTTATTTAAAAAAAAAATCTTCTAATTCACATGGCCAGTGAGACTTGTTGACTCTTTAATAATGTTTCCCTGTGTTCAAGGAATAGTGGTTGCTCAGTAGATACATTTTTTTCTGTTACTCAGTTTTGATACAGTGAGTTATGTTAGTTTGAAAACACTCTGAAGGGATACCATTGCTGTAACATTGTGAGGAAATATTGAGTTTTATTGTGTTCCCAAGGGAACTGGAAATCTTTTGCATTTATGCACTTTCAATTTTCCTTTCTTAATATATTGAAGGTCCTGTATTTAATTTTCCCCTAGGACAGCATACATATAACTCAGCAAATATTTATCTAGTACTTAGATTATTAGGCTCTATACTAAATGATATATACTAAATCATATTCCATGATAACAATAAGCATTCAGAAATATTTTCGAGTGTCTCGGTGTTCCTAGAAAATAAAATAAAATAAAATAAAATAAATCAGCAGTAAGGTCCACTAGTTTCTCTAGCATGATCAACCACTATTATGAAAATCTAAGAGTAAGAAATCATAGTTAAAGTTAACATACAGTGCTGGCAATAAAATACTTATTTCTGTGTCACTTTTTTTTTTTTTTTTTTTGAGAAGGAGTTTTACTCTTCTTGCCCAGGCTGGAGTGTAATGGCAACGATCTCGGCTCATTGCAACCTTCGCCACCCAGGTTCAAGCGATTCTCATCTCAGCCTCCTGAGTAGCTGGAATTATAGACATGCACCACCACGCCCAGCTGATTTTATATTTTTAATAGAGACAGGGTTTTACCATGTTGGTCAGGCTGGCCTCAAACTCCTGACCTCAGGTGATCTGCCTTCCTTGGCCTCCCAAAGTGCTGGGATTGCAGGCGTGAGCCACTGCACCTGGCCTCTGTCTCACTTTTATTGCTTGCTTTTACATTACATGAAGGAAATGCTCAGAAATTAGCCTGCCTTAAAATAGTAAAAAAGGTTGGCATTTATAACAACTTGAAAAACGTATTCAAGATTTATAGGATAGCCAAATTGTTTCTGGGAGAATATATGTACACTTAGTCATAGTGCTAGATATAGGCAGCCCTCCACAGCCATAGACCTATCTGAATGATTCTGCTTCAACCACCAAAAATCCTGTTGATCCCTACCCCTTTGCTGTTGCTATAGCTAATTGAATTAGAATGTAAATGCAACCTGCTTTTAGCACACCCATAGGTTGGCCATCAACTTATAACACAACCTGACTTGAAAAGAAGCTGGTTGTGGCTGCCCATGCCTGTAATCCCAGCACTCTGAGAGGCCGCAGTGGGTGGATAACATGAGGCCAGGAGTTTGAGACCAGCCTGGCCAACATGGTGAAACTCTGCCTCTACTAAAACCACAAAAATTAGTCAGGCATGGTGGCACATGTCTGTAATCCCAGCTACTCATGAGGCTGAGGCACAAGAATAGCCAGAACCCAGGAGGAGGATGTTGCAGTGGGCTGAGGTGCCGCTGCACCCCAGCCTGAGTTACACTCTGTCTCAAAAAAGAAAAAGAAAAAGAAGAAAAGAAACGTTGAGCTGGACCAAACAATCAAAATCACCTTGGTAACAAAATCAGAACAACTCTACATGTGTAGTTCATCTAATTTTCCTATTCAGGTCATTTTCCTTTTGAGGTCTAGGTTACCTCCATGTGAAAAAGTTCCAATTTAATAAAGACAGACACTTTAATGTAAAAAATAGCCTCCAATGTATTTAGTTAAGGTATATTCTTAATATTATAAGCTCTTGAATGTTGAGAAAGCTCAGAATTCTGGAACTCCTGCCCATTTCTGGGAATCTTCAATAATCTGTAATTCATTCTTCAAACCATCATACATATATGGATATGTCTACATGCTGTTGCAATGCATTCTTGGTATGCATGTCAACACTTCAGCTCATACAAATGAATCATTTGTGGCGGGGACAGGCAGTGATAGGTTTAACAGTCTGCATTTTAGTGGATGGGAAGTATCAACATCCATTAAATCTGAAGCTCTGAGGGACATTTTAGCTGTATGTTGGGAGTGTGGAACTACGTCTTGGTTTGGTGCAGATTGGTGCAATTTACTTAAAATAATCAGACTATTTAGAATCCTGTAATGCTCAATTATTTCAAATAATTGCATTTGTATTCTGTGTCAGCTAAATTTGTTTTTCATGCAGATATAACTGTGAAATTATAAGCCAGTGGAAAAACTTGATTCACAAAGGAATTAGAAATGAAGAGACACATTTTTTGGCCAGGTGCCATGGATCATGTTTGTAATCTCAGCACTTTGGGAGGCTGAGATGAGAGGATCATTTGAAGCCAGGAATTTGAGATCAACCTGGGTGACATAGTGAGATCTTGTCTCTACAATAAATAAATAAATGAGACAAAATTTTAATTATTTGTAGATGATACAATTATCTACCAAGTAAATCCAAGAGGCTAATCTGAAAAAGAAATCTGGCCTAATGAGTTAAATTAGTCATCAATGGAAAGATAATTATATGAATTTTTCATAGAATACAATAAACATGTTCCTGAAAATGTCCTGTTTTGTGAAGTTGCATATTTAATATTAAATAATAGGGATTATGAGAAAAATAAGATTGAGACAGACACACAAAATCTAAAGTAGTAACAAAGCAGTAATAATCATAGTAAAATATTAACAGTAGCAATCATAGTAAAATAGTCACACATTTAATAACATTATAGTAATTACAGAACTTTACTATAAAAGATGAAACAGGAAAAGGAACAGTTGAGGTTGCGGAGGTACAGAAGCAAAGATAAACTATACAAAAGTCAGGCCAAATTCTGCAAAAAAACATTCTTTTGTTGTTGTTGCTCTTTCTGCTTTGATTGGCATTTATTTATTTATCTATTTTTATTTGTATAAATTTATGGGATACATGTGCAATTGTGTTAGATGCATAGATTACATAATGGTCAAGTCTGGGATTTTAGGGTATCCATCACCCAAAGTAATGTACATTGTACCTATTTACCAATTTCTCATCACCCTCCCTTCTGAGGTTGATGAGAAATCTGACTCTTCTGAGTCTGTTGTCTATCATTCTGCTCTCTATGCCCATGCGAATACATTTATTTTTGTACTAACTTATGAGTGAGATCAATATGCAAAGAACATTCTTTTTTTT